CCCGTTGTGCCCCTACGGCCCTATCGCGCCCCTACCGGCCCGTCGCGCCCCTAGCCGGCCCCGCGCGCCACTACGGCCCCTCGCGCCCCTAGCCGGCTCCACGCGCCCTTGCCGGCCCTGCTCGCCCTAGCCGGCCCCTTGTGCCCTAGCCGGCTCCTTGAGCCGCCGAGCTGCCGTGTCCCCGAGCCGCCGTGCCGCCGAGCCGCCGTGCCGCCGTGTCCCCGAGCCGCCGAGCACCCGCGCCATTGAGCCGCCGAGCAGCCGTGCCGCCGAGCCGCCGTGCCGCCGAGCCGCCGTGCCGCTGTGCCGCCGAGCCGCTGTACCGCCGAGCCGCCGTGCCGCCGTGTCCTTGAGCCGCAGTGCCGCCGGGACGCCGAGCCGCCGAGCTGCCGAGTCGCTGCGCCGCTGAGCCGCTGTGCCGCTGTCACACTGTGCGATGGCGGACAGCGTTCTTCGCTTGGACGCTAAGGGGCACGCGATCGACTTCGCCGCCTGGCTCGTCGACCTCCGCCGGCACCTGAGAGGTCAGCGCCAGGATGGGCACTCCCTGGCTATGCATGTTGATGGTTTGCTTCCGTGCCCCTCTGCGCCTGATCCCCTCCCTGCTGACCATACCACTACTGAGAGCGAGGCTTTTGCTACTGCTACACTTGCTCGCGCTGTCTGGGATTCTCGCGACATACAGTAGTAGCCCAACTTGCCATTAGCCATGCCCTCCCCGTGTCTGAGCGTCCGCGATTTACTGCTGTCGCGAACACAAAGGACTTTCTCGATGCAGTAGTTGAGCGTTACTCCACACCTACTTCCGCCTCTGCTGGCCGCTTGATCGTACCCATACTCTTCCCTGATCTTTCTGCTTTCCCCACGGTAGCTGACCTCGCTACTCACCTCCGTGCACTAGAGACCAGCTACTGTGCTACTAGATTTTCCGCCCAGCTTACTGCCTTCCGCCCACCTTTCTACGCTACCCTACACCTCATCGCCATGCCCCTGCCTGACCCCTTAGCCACTGCCCGCGACCACTTCCTTAGTCAGCACCCTGCCGACCTCACCCTGACCGCCTTTGTCACTGCTCTGTCTGAGATAGAGACTCGCCAGCGCACTATTGCTCAGTCGAGCGGTGTTGCGGCAGTCCCTATCTTTCATGGCTGTGCCCCCTCCCAGTGCACGTACGCTGACGTCTCCGCCGCAGTTGCCACGACTGCACCTGCACCTGAGATAGCAGCTATGGCGTACCCGCAGCAGCGCTAGCGCCGGGGCCGCCGTGGCCCCAAGGGAGGACGTGGAGGTGGCGCTAGTGGTGGTGGTGGCGGGGATAGTGGTTCTGACGACAGGTTTGGTGCTGGTGCCCAGGAGCAGCAGCAGTCGCCGCAGTCACAGCTGCCGCAGCAGCAGCAGCCGTCCCAGAAGCAGCAGCAGTAGCCGCAGTAGCAGCAGCAGCCGCAGCATCAACAGCAAAAGCTGTGGGCTTGTCTCCCACCCGGGTGGCCAGGAGCCCCTGGCGGTGGTGGTCGTGGTGGTGGCCCTCACAGCTCGGCGTCCACCGGTAGCTTCGGTGCTGTGAGCTGCCAGTACCAGCTTCAGACCCGGCCCCTGCGCGGCACGGTGTGCCGCCGCTCGCACCCCACCACTCGCTGCTTTTGCCACCTCGACGACCTCTTCCGTCACCGCTTTGGTCCCGCCCCGGACCTCCTTGACAGGCCCAGCCTGCTACGCCACGGTGTGCCTGTGTTTGACCTAGACATGGATCAGATTAGTTCTGCCTTGCATTCTCTATATGCTATCGCTTCGAGTGTTTCCGAATCGTATTACTCTGTGTTCTCTAGCTTAGGTGTAGCACCTGTGTGTAGTCCAGACTCCCCTGCTGCGTCAGACGTAGGACAGCTTGCTTTGTCTAGCCTAGGCTCTACCCTTGCATCTCCATCGTCGGCCACTACGGCGTCACTGTCATTCACTCTAGACTTCGGTGCGTCAGCCTGTTTCTTCCGAGACCACGCCGCCCTCACGCCGCTTGCTGCGCCTGTTGCTGTCGCCCTTGCGGACCCCTCCTCTGGTCCTGTAGTTGCTCGCAGCTACACTACCCTTCCCTGTGTCTGGCCTGTTTACGCTGGACACTGCGGCTGGTCCCCAGGCGAGAGGCGGAGCCGGTCCCTTGGAACGAGTGCGATTAGAGACTGAAGACGAAGGCGGCTGCGGTGGGACCGGAGGGACTGGGCGCCTCCAGTAGGAGACTGGTGAGCCAAGCTCGACACGCGGGGAAGGCGGAGCAGGAGGAGGTGCCGCTGCGGAGGATACCGGGGAGGCCGGGTGTGACACGTCGGACGGAGAAGGCCCCGGAGAAGGGGCAGCGGCCGGAGGTGAGGCATCGAAGTCTGCCCATACAAGCATCGGGGGAGGTGGAGGAGGCTCCCCTGTGGTCGTAGAGTGGAAGGGGCGTGTCTCGTCGAAGACGACATCACGGCTGCGAATCAGCTGTCTGGTGATGGGGTTGAGGAATAAGTAGTCTGGGGAGTCGGAGTTGTGCCCTAGGTACATGCAGGTCTAGGTTTTGGGACCAAGCTTGCCACCTTACTTCCTGCGCATGTGGGGGCTGAGCAACACATACGCGGTACACCCCCAAACGCGTAGAGAGCGGGCGGAAGGCGTGGCTCCAAGCCAGAGAGTGGTAGGTGTGGTGTCGGGCCGGTGGGGATGCGGATAAAGATTATAGAGGAATGCCGCATGGAAGAGGGCATATCCCCAGAGTGACTGTAGTGCGTTGGCGTGACTGAGGAGGCAGCGAGCGATCTAAACCAAGGTGTGGTTGTGGCTCTCTGCAATGCCATTTTGCTGCGGGCTTTCAGGGAGCGTAAAGGTTTGCCGAATCCCTTGGGCCGTGCAGAAGTTATCGAGTTTGCCATTGAAAAATTCTCCCCCGCTATCAGAATGGAGGCACTTCAGAGGAATGCCGAACGTGACTTGAGCCTGGCGCACCCATGCCATGATGAGGTCAGGTGCCTCCGCCTTGGTATGCAGGAGGTGCACCGAAACATACTGCGAGTGGTCATCGACTATTGTAAGAAGGTATCGATGATCGCCTCGGGATGCGACTGGAGCTGGGCCACAGACATCCATGTACACTAGGTCCAGCGGAGCAACAGCAACAGATGGGGAGGAGGGGTGCGGCTGCTGCCTAAGCTTGCTCTCGGTGCAGTCCAAGTGGGTGCAGGTGAGTCTGTTGGTGGAGGAAGCGCTGACGGGAGGCCAAGAAGTAGTTTCTTGGAAGCGACGTCGGCAAGCGCACGAGGTGACGCCTACCTGTTGGAGCTCGTGTTGGGCCACGAGATTGTGGCGTAGTGTGGGAACACACATGCCGGTGACACTGCCCGAAGGGAAAGCTGGACACGGAACTGTGGAGGAGCCCTTGGCGTGTGTTGTGAAACTGGAGTCTACTCCTAGTAGACGGATTGGTGTCTCGTACGGCTTGAAGGAGTGTTCTTCTTTGAGAACCGTGTGAGTGGCCCCACTGTTGAGGGTGAACCCTATTGTGGCTGAGGTGCATTGAGAGCCAGGACACTGCGAAATCGTCTCATCAATCATGCCAGTGCCAGGGAACAATATGTTAAGGCGCACATCAGCAGGGGGAGCTACAGCAGCCTGCACGGATTCCTGCACTTCGACTTGATTGACCTTGTGAGGAGCACGATTCACCATCCAGCTTGGCGTCTTCAAGGCGGTCCCATTGACGGCATAACACTCATCATCCTTCTTCTTAAAGCAGGAGGCGAGGGCGTGGTTGGTGCTGCCACACACCTGGCCGGCACGAGGGCCGTGCTTGATGACGTAGGGACACGGGGGGAAGTGGTTGCGCTGGAATGGTGCCGAAGCGGCATAGGCCTGAGGCATGGGAGCGCGGATTGCATTGGCCTTGGCTTGAGCGCTGTTGTCCTTTTCGGCAGAAAGGAGCGCGAATGAGACCTTGGCAAATGTGAGGTCTGCAGGAGCAAGGCCCAAGAGCATCTTGCATGTGACTTCATATGCCAGTGTGAAGCCGACTAGGAGAGCGGCTGCAGGGGCTTGTTCGAGGAAGATTGTCCCCAACTGCTTGAGTTCACCATGAATGGACTGCACCTTGGTGACATAGTCCGCCATGCCTGGCAAGTCCTCGAGCTGCACTTGGAACATGCTGGGGATGAATATAGCAACTCCCACTGCAGTCTTGTTCAGGAAGCGGTCTTCGAGGTAGAGCCAAATGGCGTTGGCAGACGGGTAGTTGTGGTAGGTTTCGACAAGTTCGAGAGGAGTGGTGCCCATGAAGACACTAATGACCACGCCATTGGCCTTCTCCCAATTCTTGTACTTGAGGAGTGCAGTAGCATAAACTGCTTCGGCGGCGGCATTAGCTGGATCGGCGGACCTCTCGGGTGTAGGAGGCTCTTTGCCGTCACGGATGTTGAGAAGGACGTCGGTGAGCTCGAGCCCCTTCACCTCGCGACTGAGGAGGTGCTTGTCGACACCATAGCGCCAAGCCTTGTAGTCGGAGCATGTACCGTCCGACTCGAGACGAAGGAGCGGGATCGGGTTGGCGAGTGAAGTGGTTCAGTAAGCCATTGCCGCTTGATTTTCGGCAGCTTCGTCGAAACGCCGCGAAGAAGGAAATGGCATCGGCGGAGATTCGTTGAAACACCGACTTTGAACTGAATCTAAGACTAACCCCGGACCCACACACCCCCACACACACCCCCAGACCCTGTCCCGCAGCTACACAGCTCCGCAACCAGCTCCGCAACCAGCTCCGGTCCGCTTCAACCTGTGTACCTGCTCTTGCTTGATGCGAGACTTTCGTGGAGGCGATTCCGCGAGGGGAGTTCGCCTATTCTGGTGGGGCCCGAGGGAAACTCGAAAACGAGTTTTAAGAGATGGTCGAAATTGAGATTCGACCAAGGAGAACTTAGGGGGAAATCGACGATGAGAAGCGTGAAAGCTTTCGAGTTGAGAAACTTAACGAGGTCGAGCGCGAAGGCAGTCGACGATGAGAGGTGCGACTGGAGAGTGGAGCACGCCGAAGAATTCCGACGACCCAAGACGAATGTCGCGACGATGATGTGCACGTAGCGCGGGCACGTTAAGACTAGGTCCTTGATCCGCGTGTGCGGATTGGTCGCTCTGATACCATGTAAGAAATAGAGCTGAAAGGGTTCATGAGGTAAGGAGCCCAAGGCTCTATAAGTACACATGGCAAGGTGAGAAAGAATGGATGAAGGGGGAATCGGAGGGAATCCTCATTGGGATCTCCGGAATCTCCAATTGGGTAATTGGAGATTGGGGGGATCACAATTGGGTGAGGTTGGGATCTTGTGAGTGCACCCCAACCCACTCGAACATTCCTAGCCTAAACTAGGATATAGAAGTACAAATACAAAAGTGGGAGTTGCAATGTTTTTCTAACTCACGAGACGGACGACGGGCCCAGAAGTGAGACGGAGGAGTCGGGTCAGGAGAGAGGGGAGGAGACACAGGAGGAGAATGAGGAGGGACACGAGCCAGAGAAGAGTCCGCTGGAGGAAACACTGGGCCGTAGACCGGCAGAGGAGGAGCCAGTGGCGACCGAGGAGGCACCAGCAGGCGGTCAGGGGAAGGGCGGCCGAGGAGACGAAGAGCGGACATCGGCGGTGACTACGGCGGCTACTGCCCGACGCCAACACTAGAATCTCTAGAGGCACCACGACTCCCTTTGAGAAGCCCCACACCAGCACCCTTAGAATGGGAACCCACTCCAGTACCTACTCCGGCACCCTTCCAAGCACCCCCAGATTGCACAAACCTCAGCGGCAACGACGACGGCAGCTGCGGCTGCGGCGGCGACGGCAGCTGCGGAGGCGGCTGTGCCTGTGACAGCAACGTCGGTGACAGGGGAGGAGAGACCGGGGCTGGGACAGGCGGTGAAAGGGACTCCGCCGAGCCGCGAGAGTCAGCAGCCTCCTCGGCAGGGACAACCGACAGGAGGGGGGGGACATGAGACACACCAGACGGGGCAGGGCGGGGAGGGGGAGGAGCAGGGCAACCGGGGGAGGGGGGGGAACCAGGAACTGAGGGGGAGTGACCGGTGGACCACGGTGGGGAAAGCGGTGGTAGAAGGAGACGGACTCGTCAAAGGTGACGTCACGAGAGTGAAAGAAACAGTGAGACGGCGGGTGGTAGAAGTGCCAGTGAGACGAGTCGAGGGGGAGACCTAGGAAGACACAGGGGACGATGCGGGCAGTGAGCTTGTCCGTGCCAGAGGCACGAATGTGAGCAAGGCAGGCCCAGACGTGGAATGCAGACGCGTCACCAGGAGACCCGGTCCAGACGAGGGTCAGCGAAACCTGCTGCCGCTGAGGGTGCAGCCACAGGTTAAGCTGGTGGGCGGTGTAGCGAACGGCAAACGGCCACAGAAAATGGGGTGCACCGGCATGGATCATGGAGGTATGAGCCACCTCCATGACCAAACCGATGCGTCGGTCAGCAACCCCATTCTGCTACGAGGAGTCCGGAAGGGTGTACGTCTGGGTGATGCCCTCCGCGCGACAGAAGCGACCAAGGCAGCCAGAGGCGAACTCGCCACCACGGTCGGAGTGAAGACGCAACACAGGGAGACCTCGGTGCACACGTGAAGAGACAAGCCATGGGATATGAACGTCGGGCACAACGGCCTTCCGCTCTAGGGGAAGCACGGTTGTATAGCGAGTGTATTCGTCGACAAGTACGAGGAAGGAATGCTCACGACGCGGCCCATGGATGGGGGCGGGGCCCCAGACGTCCATGTGCAGTGTTTGCAATGGTGCGATGGTGGGGGGGAACAAGAAGAAATGAGGAGCCGGCCCTCAACGCAGGGGGTGCAGAGAGGCACTGCCGAGGAGGGGAGTGCAGGGAAGGACGCAGGGAGACCTAAGACAAGACCGTGCTGAGACATGTGAGGGCGGGGTGATCTAGGCGGTGGTGCCATAGAAGCGACGACTGAGTAAGCGACCGACACGAGCAAGCCGCAACAACCTGGGTAGACGCTGCCACCTGGGGGGGCGTCCCAACCGGGGGGGACGCGGTGTCCAGCATGAACAGGCCAGACATCGGGTCTCGGGGGAACGTGGTGAGGGGGGCACCACTGGCAGCCTCGGTACAGACAATGTACCTCTCTAGATTAGGGAACGTGGTGACGCCGAGGTCCTGAAGACAGCCGACAGCAACTAGATTCCGAGAGAACAAGGGGATGTGCAGGCCTGTAAGAGAGCCTGAAGGAACGGCCGGACAGGGGAGAGTGGTGGAACTACGGATGACTACCGGACCTGAGGAAGGGTTTGCAAGGGTAAGTGCAGCAGGGATGGCATGCGGCGTAAGCATAGTGTGGTCCCGAAAGAAACACCGACACGCGCTAGAATCGAGAGGGAAGGAGAGCGCGGCAGTGGCGGCTCGGGGCGGAGGAGCTAGGGTGGAGCCAAGGATAAACAAAGCAATTGGGTAATTGGAGATTGGGGGGATCACAATTGGGTGAGGTTGGTATTTGTGAGTACACCCAAACCCACTAGAACATTTATAACCTAAACTAGGATATAAAAGTACAAATACAAAAGTGGTATTTGCAGTCTATTTCTAACACACCCCCATAGACTGCAAACCCGATCAAGGAGCACATAGCCCCATGGAACGGAGAAGGCGATGGTGGTCAGCCTTGCCGAGAGCCTTGGTAAAGAGGTCAGCGAGGTTGCAATCTGAGGCGATGCACCGTACCGTCAGCTGGTCACTCTGAACAAGATCTCGGATGAAGAAATGACGAAGTTCGATGTGCTTGGTGCGAGAGTGGAACACAGGATCCTTGGTGAGGTGAATGGCACTCTGGTTGTCACACCACAGGGTGGGCGACTGCTGGGGGTAGCCTAACTCAGCGAGGAGAAAGGAGAGCCAGCGTGCCTCTTGAGCAGCCATTGTGCCCGAGTAGAGCTCGGCCTCGCAGGACGACAAGGAGACTGCAGAGGACCGAGATGAGTGCCAGCTGATGACTCCGCTACCAAGGGTGAAGCAGTACCCTTGGGAGGAGCGTCTGTCAGTCTGGTCATCGGCCCATGAGGAGTCTGTGTATCCCTCGAGCTTGACTGGAGAGGTACCACCAAGAGTGAGGATGAAAGACTTGGTGGCTTGTAGATAGCGGAGGACCCTCTTGGCTGCAGACCAATGCGAGGCAGTGTAGCGTCCGGGGGAGACGTACCGAGAGAGGACACTAACCGGGTAAGCCAAGTCTGGTCGAGTGCACATCATGGCATACATGAGTGAACCGACTAGCTCAGGGTACGGGTCCTTGCAGGCGTCAGGAGAAGGAACTGGAGGGGCCGTGAGCTGATGTTGTAGTGGGAGTGGAGTGGAGACAGAGTTACTGGAGTCCATGTCGAACCGCTTGAGAAGGTTGTCGATGTAGGACTCCTGGGAGAGGGTGATCGTGCAAGCCTGGCGGTCACGAGTGATCTCCATCCCCAGGTAGTTTTTGAGGTCACCAAGATCCTTCATGAGAAGGGCGGAGCTGAGAGCAGACTGGACAGCTGCCATGTCGGCTGGATCTCTGGTGGCTAGAATGAAGTCGTCGACGTAGACGAGGATGTAGAAGGGCTCGGAGGAGTGACGAACGAAGAGACTAGAATCTGAGGCAGAGGGATGGAAGTCAAGTGCGAGGACTTCCTTCACCTTGTTGTGCCACTCACGAGGAGCCTGCTTGAGGCCATACACTAGGCGCTTCAGCTTCCACACTGTGTTGGCACGGTAAGTGCCAGGAAACCCCGGTGGGCGTTCCATGTGAACATCCTCCTTGACCTGGCCTTGGAGAAAGGCGAAGGAGGCGTCCATGGACTTGATCTCGAAGTTGCCGCGAGTGGCTATATCAAGAAGAGCGCGCACATTCGGGAGCTTGGCCGTGGGCGAGAATGTTTCGAAGAAGTCGAGATACTCCTTCTGGGTGAAACCCTTCGCCACGTATCGTGCCTTGAACAGTGGAGCTTCGCCTGGGAGTTGTTTGACTCGGAAGATCCATTTTCCGCCGACGATGTTGACACCGGAAGGGGGAACAACATCGTCAAAGCTGTTGTTGGGGATGAACGCCTCGTTCTCCACATCCATTGCTGCCTTCCACTCCTTCTTATAAGGCCCCGAGAGAGCTTCCTCTTTTGTGCGAGGAGTCGGAATGGTCGGGTTCTCGGTGAAGTTGAGGGAAGGGCAATCAATAATGTCCGGAAAGATGTGAGAGAGAAATTGGCAGACCGCGTGAAGGTCAAACAGCTCCTCATGCCTGTCCTCCAGAAGTGCACGGGGGGGAATACGGATGGAGGGGACATCACCCCCGGCAGGAGGAGGCGGGGTGACCGAACACCGGATGGAGAAGGCGGCTGGTCCCCAGGCGAGAGGCGGAGCCGGTCCCTTGGAACGAGTGCGACTAGAGACCGGAGACAAAGGCGGCTGCGGTGGGACCGGAGGGACTGGGCGCCTCCGGTAGGAGACTGGTGAGCCGGGCTCGACACGCGGGGAAGGCGGAGCAGGAGGAGGTGCCGCTGCGGAGGATACTTGGGAGGCCGGGTGAGACACGCCGGACGGAGAAGGCCCCGGAGAAGGGGCAGCGGCCGGAGGTGGGGCATCGAAGTCTGCCCATACAAGCGTCGGGGGAGGTGGAGGAGGCTCGCCCGTGGTCGCAGAGTGGAATGGGCGTGTCTCATCGAAGACGACATCACGGCTACGAATCAGTTGTCTGGTGATTGGGTTTAGGAATAAGTAGTCTGGGGAGTCGGAGTTGTGCCCCAGGTACATGCAGGTTTGGGTTTTGGGACCAAGCTTGCCACCTTGCTTCCTGCGCGTGTGGGGGCTTAGCAACACATACGCGGTACACCCCCAGACGCGTAGAGAGCGGGCGGAAGGCGTGACCCCAAGCCAGAGAGCGGTAGGTGTGGTGTCGGGCCGGTGGGGATGCGGATAAAGATTGTAGAGGAGTGCCACATGGAAGAGGGCATATCCCCAGAGTGACCGTGGTGCGTTGGCGTGACTGAGGAGGCAGCGAGCGATTTGATCTAAGGTGTGGTTGCGGCTCTCTGCAATGCCGTTCTGCTGCGGGCTTTCGGGGAGCGTGAAGGTTTGCCGAATCCCTTGGGCCGCACAGAAGTTATCGAGTTTGCCATTGCGAAATTCTCCCCCGCCATCAGAATGGAGGCACTTCAGAGGAGTGCCGAACGTGACTTGAGCCTGGTGCACCCACGCCATGATGACATCAGGTGCCTCCGCCTTGGTATGCAGGAGGTGCACAGAAACATACCGCGAGAGGTCATCGACTAGTGTAAGAAAGTACCGATGACCGCCTTGGGATGCGACTGGAGCTGGGCCCCAGACATCCATGTGCACTAGGTCCAGCGGAGCAGCTACGACGGATGGGGAGGAAGGATGCGGCTGCTGCCTGAGCTTGCTCTTGGTGCAGTCCAGGCAGGTGGGTGCAGGTGAGTCTGTTGGTGGAGGAAGTGCCGACGGGAGGCCAAGAAGAAGTTTCTTGGAAGCGATGTCGGCAAGTGTACGGAAATTGGGGTGACCCAAGCGATGGTGGTAGAGGATGGTTGGGTTGGCGAAGCTGCGATACGAACACGGAGTGGTGCTGGCAGCTTGCGCTTGGGAGAGGGTGGCGAGAGGTGCAGGTGAATGCAGCGTGTAGAGCTTGCTGCTGTTGAGTGTGAAGCGTGCTAGGAGCTTGTTGGACTTAGGGTCGAAGAGGTCACAGTGATCCGAGTGTGCTGGGAAGATCGTCGTGACGCCTGCCCGTTGGAGCTCGTGTTGGGCCACGAGATTGTGGCGTAGTGTGGGAACACACATGCCGGTGACACTGCCCGAAGGAAAAGCTGGGCACGGAACTGTGGAGGAGCCCTTGGCGTGTGTTGTGAAACTGGAGTCTGCTCCTAGTAGACGGATTGGTGTCTCGT